GGGGGGGGGATATAACAGAGCTACAAGACGCTCTGTGGTAATTTCATGTCATAATAGCTGAAGTGGAACGGAGTCAGGGGACCAAGAACCCGCACTGTGCGCAGTCAGAACACAAAAATAACGCAAGTCTTCAGGGGAGCTGGACGGAAAATGGAAATAATTTAGACTATTCATAGAGAAAGCTAAACAGAGCACAGTTATTAGTGTTTTTTTTAACACAACAGTTGCATATGTAAGAATCAGTGGGTCGTCTGGTGTGAGATGTCAACCAGAACTGATGTTTATTATGTTATTTATGCTCACTACAAAGGAAAAAATAAGCAGGATGTAAAGCACTAACGTGCAATGTGGAAAAACGACTCAAACAGAGTTATGAAAGTAAATATGTGCCATCAGAATTTGAATAAAAAATACCTCTGAAATTTGAATGTTGTATATTAGTGCTTACTTTTTCAGTATTAAAATAAATTCAGAATATATTTTTAACCTAAAAAAAAATCAATGTCATTATTTGTACATAAAATATTTTCGTTGTCCTCCAATTAAACTTGCTCAAATTCGCTGTCTCAAATTCAGCGTCTAAAAATTCGCTGTAAAAATGGCCAAGGTTACCTCAGGTCACAGACATTAGCAATGGATGTCCGATTCCAACATCCACCTAATCACGTGACACAACCGTCATATTGAAGAAGTACCAGTATCACCCAGGCTGGCGACCATGGAGGCGAACTCAAACCCAACGGTGAGTTTAATGCTTTCATATTAACTCACCGTTCAATACTGAAAAAGTAAGCACTAATATACAACATTCAAATTTCAGAGGTATTTTTTTATTCAAATTCTGATGGCACATATTTACTTCCATACAGAGTCACGTGGTTTTAAGATTTCCTTGCTTGTTTCAGTGAAAAATGCTGAGTAACGGACTGAAGACGGAACAATCCGGCTGACGCCCGATGAGCTGCTGAGGCAGTTTGACCCCCTGACCCCCCGCACACGCCTCACCGCTCTCACAGCCAATCCACCGTCCCCGTTGTTTAAACAAGTAGAAAATGATAGGCCGTCCGACACAGTGATGAGGCATTAAGTTGTCTCACCCCGCTGAGCAGGAACAGATTGCACACACTTACACACTGGGAGGTTTTCCAGGGGCCGGACTCCCTGAGTTTTCCCCGAGTTTCCTCAACAGTTTCTTTGAACTGTGAACACGTAAAACCCTTTTTCGACACAGCTGCTGCGGTGGTTCCCTTTTTGGTTTTAGGTAAAAGTCAATGCCAGCTTCTAATTCCTTCTCAAAGATACATCAAATGCTTTGGATTTGAAACTCATCCCAACTTCCCCTCCTCTCTGCCTCCATTCGGCCTGCGTGGGCGTCTCTTAAAACTAATTTGAAGGTTTCATTCTTAATTTCTTAGATCGTTCAGTGGGTTAGTGCCTATTTATCCCCCTGATCTTTTGACTTTGTTCTCTTTAAAGAGATCACAAGCACCAAAGAGCAGATTTAGACATCAGACTTTAGAGAATCCTGCTACTTCGCTTCAAAACCTCACAGACATTTTCAATTCTATACAACGTTCATTTTTGTTATTTGCCAATGAAATTAGCACGGTCTGATTTTTTTTCCTTCTAATTATCTGCATGGCTTCTGGTTTTTATAACACTTCAGCCTGAATTTGCCAGAATACGCTTGAAAAGGAGCAACTCGGTTTTGATTAGCCTTTCATATTGGATAAAAGCTTATTCTAAAGGATTTTTTCCCCCAGATTTCTGAAGATGTACCTGGATAGTTGAAACTAGCTTCAATTCTCTAACACTTTGGGATCATTTCAGTTAAATTCAATTACATTTTTTTCAAATATTTCCAAATCACAAGAAATATAATCTTAAATTCAATCATTTTTCAACAGTTTGGGGCAAAAGCTATCATCAGATATCTTTTAAAAGAAAAGACCAAGAAATTATGTGACCTGAGAAAACCAGATGTGGTTCGTAAGCTTGAATCTCAGTGGGTATCGGTGAGGAACAATTTCTTCTCTCAGCAAAAGTTCAACACCACAGCTTCAGCGTTACACACTGAAACTTTGAGGAGAAACTTTACGTCATATTGTAACCATCTCCAAATATTCGGTCATACTTTCTAATAACCCGCTCGGATAAAAGCTAAAAACACTCTCAGTCCACTGTAATCATGTGAATTGCAGCAGATGGTTGGTCCAGAAACAGCAGGTGGTGCCAAATGCTCCCAGCAGGTGCTGTTTGAAGGTTTTAAGGACTGAAATCAAAATGAGAAGAAACGACCGAAAAGGTAAAAAAGGACTGAAACATAAACTCAGTTGGTGTTGGCTGCACATTACTGTAAAACTGCATGAAGCACAACTCAAACCACAGCCTCCGCTCGGGTGCACTTCCTCTACGAGAAATTTATACTTTTTAGCCTTTTAGGACATTTTGTCACCTGTTACGAGACAAAATGTCAGTGTTGGTCGCAACCTGTTTCTTCTCTTTAAAGCTCTCTTGATGAAATGAAGGAGATCTTCTCACTGTGTGGGAACACTCACCATCAAACTCAGCTGGACCAACGCCTACGATGATGATGGACAGCGGGAGAGACGCCGCCTGTTCGGAGGACAAAAAACAAGGATGACGCTCATTTACATTCATTAGAGCACAAAGATGCAGAGATCCATCAGGTTTGTCCAAAAGGGAAATAAACTGACTCATTATACCCACTTTGCAGACATTATTTTGGTAACTATCCACAAAAACAACAACGGATTGGCTGGAAATCTTCAAAATTTCGATGTTTTTCGCACATCTTGAATCGTGACCAATTATTACAGCTCCTTTACATATTTTGCCAGCTGCTCATTTGATATGATATGACATCCCAGGGGCACATTGTTCTAAACACACTGTTCGAATGGTTTTCTAATGATATTTTACAGGATAAATCCAATTACGGAAAAAAGTTGACTGTGCATCAAAGAATTTTCCAACAAAAATCTGTCCTGTTGAGCATGTTCGGTATTATTATAAACAGCTGCTTGTGTTAAGCATAACAGGGGCAAATCTGCTTAGGCTTAAAGTTTAATTGTGACTGAGATATTAAAGGCTAAGCCTAAAGTGTAGCTTTAACCCACCGGGAAGTGTTTTGGGTAAATGACACGAAGGCCTCTTAACTCCGTAACATCTCCAATATCAATAAAATACAAGCTGAATAAATCATGGAGCCGCCACCACCAACAGCACAAACGCTCATCATTACGTCCTCAGAGGATTACCTGCTGCTCTTTTTACGCGCAAAGTCATTTTAGAACTGGAAAGTCTATGATTTCCAGGCTGTGTGATGGTGTGTGCTCACACAGTTTTCTGGAAAATGGGGGGAAAAAAATTAATGTCCTGCAGCTGTTCTTCAGGCAAAGATATTAAACTGATGCAACGCCGTGAAAACACTGACAGCAGACGGTTCGGGCCGTCAAAATTTACCTTTGGGTTTCTTTGACAGAAAATCGAAAGTTGGAGAACAGACGTATTTGGAGGGTTTATAAACTATCAGAGGTTTAGTTTTCAGCTCCTGTTGGCTGGAAGATCATTTACTTTCTTCTGAATCACAAAACGGGTTCATTGGAAAATGTACTGCATCATCCAAAACACCCCCCCCTCCCCAATATGCATGTGTGTGTGTGTGTGTGTGTGTGTGTACTCACATTGACCACAGCCTCTTTGGTCTGGACCATGTCAGATATCACTCCATCTGTGATCATCAACAGGACAAAGTACTGAGAGCCGTCTGTAATCTCTGCTGCACAGCTGGGGAACGCGCACACACACACACAAACACAAACACAAGGTTTAAACACGGACACTCGGCTGGCGCACACACACAAAAACACACACACACACACACACACAGGGCAACACCTGTCTGCACTCCGGCCAAGGACGTATGGGGCCGAATTTACAGGAGAGCAACCAGCCAAAGTCAATCTGGACTCGTACAAATATGAAACTGTCCTGTGATAACATTTAAACAAAAACCGACCCGACAACCTGGAAAGAAAAAACCAAAAGACGGCAACTATAAAAACGTAAAAGTAAATACTGCTCCCCCTTCCAGGGGGAAGTACACACCACAAACACAACAACTGTGACAGTGACAAATGACACCGCGGGAATGAATTTCAGATCTATTTAAAAAATACTGACAGTCAGTCAAAATACAAGCAGGTCCATATCCTGTCCTCGAAGGCTTTTCTCATAATTCATTTCCCTTGTAGAAAGATACACAGATTAAAATCCACTTTAGAAGTATATCCTCTGAAGCCAGTCTTGGCTATAAGCTATTGACTATCACTGCTCGATGGAAGCGGCACATTTAAAAAGCTCAAATGTCCTGAAATACAATGAAAAACAGCTTTTTTTGACCACTGGCAGTGACCCTGACAAATAAAAAGTTTGAATGAAATCTTTTTGATCAAACTTTTGAACGTCGGAAATTAGTGAAAAGGAAGCTGCTGATTTTTCTTTCACATTCAATTAAAAATGCATATATGAGGTATATTTCCCATATAGAGCTTGTTGGGCGACTGACTTATGGAACAGGATGCTGAGTTGTATTTAGACATACAAGAAGAAGATATTCAGGAAGTTCATTGGGAAAAACTAACTGGAATACACTCCTCTCAGAATGTGGATTAATCATCAAGCCGTTGGTAACAAACACAAAAAAATCAATATTACAGTAAATCAGCTGCTTAGAGGAGCATGTGGTCTCATTTATATGAACAAAGAAAATCATGAATACTTATTTAGGTAAGTGTGGTGTTTTCTTTTCTAAATGAAAACCTTGACAGACAGTTTCTCACAAACAGACAAGAAAGGCAATCCTGGATGAGCCCCCCTATAATTTATGCCCGTAGGGTATGACATAGATAACTATGACTTTTTCAGCTTTTTCCTAAACCAACCATGGATTTAACATCGACCCTCTCAGAAAGCGTAAAGGCCCCTCGATTAATCACTCAAATGCCCCTAAAAAAAAAAAAAAAGAACCCTCAAAGTGAGGACAGCTGGTCGAAAGACCGGTGTCTGCACAATGAATCTAGATTACGAGGACATGACTTTGTGAATACAAACCGTGGATCAGCCTCTCCCTGTGACAGAGATGGGAAAAAGATTTCTCCATCTGGAATAGCAGGAGGGAGCCGGGACACTTGAAGAAGATTGTCGGATTTGAGGAAAACACCAGGTCTTGTTAACAGTTACTTTAAACTCATCTCATTAGGCCTGACAATAACAGCTACCTCCATTGCGCCGTTCGGTGCCGCACGCCACTCAAACCCCCCCCCCACACACACACACCGAATCAGACACCTCTCAAACATGATTTGACAGAATCACTGAAGCCGCTCATGTCTTCTAACGCCAGAGCATCACTCCATCAAATGCGCCGACTCTAATCTGTTACTGACGACTTGAGCTACAAGTCGTCCGCACGCAAAGTAAAATGTCACTCAGGCGATCTAATCAGTAGAAGGAAATCAGTAAACTTGACAATGAATCGGAAAGAACGGCAAACATTTGTCGGTATGTTTATACTCTCAAGATAAAGCATTCAAATGCTGCCACAAACAAAATAGCTCTGCAAACTTTCAGCTTATTATGCAGACACAGGCAGATCTCTAAAAAAAAAGCCCTGAGGAACACATGCCTTAAAGGAGGTGCTCATCAAGGCCAAATTATTTTTAGTGCTCCAGGCTTTAAAATAATGCCCCCGAAACTAGGTCTGTAAGTAGAATAATGTTTTTGTTTTGACTTTTTTTTTTAAGGATTTCTAAGTTGGAGAATATGAAATAGCAAGAAGATCAATTTCTATGCAGATGATACTAAGACTTGAGCTTGTAACCTTCTTCAGAATGAACTTTCTTTTATGTTAAATTGCTGGAAATGAAGGTGAAAAAGTTCACCTATATGTTGGAACAATCCAGGTAGTGTTTTTGTCTTTCGCTTCATGTTTTAGTTTGTTCGTGAGAAAAACCACGGTGGAAAATGTTGTATTTCTTTGTAACGGAGAAACTCTCCATCAGTTCATCTACTGGGAAACATTTGTCCTAAAAAAAATGAAAATGTGCAGCTAAGGAAATTTCTAAAGACATGAGCAGCAAGACCTTTTGGGCTTTAACTCTAAAACACTAGTTAAATGATACAAAATAATAATTACCTGACTCAGAATAAACGTGATTCCGTTGGCGACGAGGGGCTTAAAAGCCTCTAACTCTGAATACGTAATCTTAGCATCTAATGTTTCATAATACATTTTTTACATTTATTATCTGCTGTTTAAGAGTCGTGTCACTTCCTACGAGCTGCTAAACATCGAGGCATATAAATGCAGAATTACCAAAACTTTCAGGCAGGTTTGGATTAGTCAGAAGGGGAAAAAGGCGTTTCTCTGTGTCATCCAACATTTACACGGACGTGATTTCACACTCACTTTGCCACTTTGTTGATGACCGGTGCAAAGTTTGTGGGCCCGTACAGCTGAACTGTCCTCAGGCTCTGGAAATAGGCCTCCAGAACTCCCTCTATGCCCACACAGTTTGGATTATCCCCGTCACCGCTCTGCAGCACAAAACAGTCAGAAAACACGCGCTGTATTCTCTCTAATGCAGGGAAACAAACTGTACGGTACATGTGCTGCTGTCACTCACCGAAACATTTAATTAATACCTATCAACAACGGCACACATCACATTAAACCTGCTCGTTATTAAACAAAAACGGAGAAAAAGAGCAAAGAAAAACTAGTCGTATTATGCAATCGCATGCATTCATTTAATTCAAGCTAAATTCTGAGCTTTCTTTTCCGTGTTTGAACATAAGGTAAAAAATCAGCAATGAAAAGCAGCCATTGTTACCCATCAATCTGGGTTATAAGGTCGTTTCGAAACTATTCGGAGTCCATCGCTCTACAGAGAGAAAGATTATTTACAAGTGGAGAACATTTAGGACAGCTGTCACACCTCCAAGAAGCGGTTGCCCCAGAAAGTTCGGGTTTACAGACTCTACTGGCCTCATTTAGCCATTTTAACCCCTTTAGAGCGTCTGTCACCGGCAGCAGGAGCGTGCACGTGTGCTACTCCTTTTGGTGAGCTTTTCTTCACAGGGGTACTCGATAACAACCAGGAGTCCAGACGGTGTCAGGAAATATGTCCTGGATACCCTATTTGAGGATGATTTGTTTTGGTTATCGGTGTGATCTGATGTAAGTCCCAGGAAAAGGGGAGGAGGGTGGGTTGGGGGAGGTGATTGGGTCTTGAGAATGTCCTTATTTATGTCACTTTTGTTTTGTTTCGATTTGGTATTGTCTTTATGTTGTATGTTCACATAAAAAAAAAAAAAGAGAACAAACATATATTGTTGAGGTTGTAATTCTCATGTTCGATTTCTCAATAAAACAGTTTGACAACAAAAGAAATATGTCCTGGATATCTTCCTACTTCCTTACTCCTGCATTTTAGCTTCGATTTAGTCAGTATTGAATCATTTAGTGTATCGACGGTTCTTTTCTAAGATATTTTCAAGCACCGTTACTATGGAGCGTGGATCTGACCCGAGACAGAAGTCCTCTGACTCAACTTTGTAAAAAAGAAAAAAGGAAGGATGTAGTTATCTTCAGCCCGGTGACACAGTTACATTGGCTTCGCTTAAGATCGGCAACCGCGGGTTTTCTGACTGCCGTTGCCCTCTTCCCCTGGGGAGTGGAGGGGCTGCTGGGAGAGTCCCGCTGGCAGCCAGATGAGCCTGCGTCTGTGCGGATGTGCCCTGCGTGTGCGATTTTTCAAAACCCGTGCGTGCGTTCGTGTGTCGTACCAACGGGAACGCGTGGGAGATTTTGCCGTCAGGGGGCAGCTTAGCTCCAAAGCCGTAGGCAGGGAAGAGCTTGTCGCTGTCGTAGTCCTGGATAATCTCCCCCACTGCTTTCAGGGCCATGGCATACGCGTTCATTTGGTAGGGACTCATATAGTGGAGGGAGGTGGGCTGGGACGGGTTACCTTAGAAGGAAAAAAAAAAAAACACATCATTAGAAGGCGAATTGCTCTATCTCCATATATATTGAATATTTTTACATTCAAAACAAAAGCGATGCTTTTTATATAACTAATGCAAAATCTGAGATGAATAAAACACAAAGAAAATCAAAAATGCCTAACCCTCACCCTAACTTTTTGGGTTTGATTCTTTGACTCGTTCTTTTTTTATTCCTTTAAAATAAAAAATAAAAACTCCTCTGAACCGTTTTAAAATGAGGAGCTGCTAGTGAAGTGTTAGATCTTGTTCTGGTCTTCCGGTAAAAGGCTGCTGCACGATCACTGACCACATATTTGTATTCCCAAACATAACTCAGTGCCAGCTCTCTCCTCTCCCCTTGGGGGGGAGGGATAAGGCATCCGGATTCTCCTCCGTTCTGAAAGGAGGCCACTCTTTTTAAATGAGAGGAGAGGACGGGGCTGGTTTGATAAGCCCGGGTTGATTCTACACTCCAGCGCACACACACTGACAACGTATTCCCCCCCCTCTCTAATCCAATCGGGTTTCCAGCCGCCTCCAGGCCCCGATAAATAATAAACACGCTCCCTGTAACCTGCACGCGGCTGCCTGCGCCTTTCATTAACAAAGGCTGTAGCGCATTCCCGGGCCGGGGTCCTTAGCATTACAAGTTTTTTCGAGTTGCATTACGCTCAAAGAAAGAGGAAAAAACCTGATTTCACGCTCAGCCTTTCAAAGTTAACTCTTCGTGTGCGATTGGCGGGGGAAGGAGGTTTTCAGAGAATTGAGCACTGGAGTCAAGAGGATTTACCCACGAGATCCGGCAATCAATTCCTGCCCGGCTGCTCTGAGCAGAGTTTCCATTAGTGTGTCAGAGGTGCTGGCAGCATTACACATTTCCTTACTTTACTGAAGAAAAACAACAGAAAAAGGGCTTTGTTTTGTCCATTTGGGCATGTGCGACAACTCTGGCGGCCTCTTTCTAGGCCGTCGTTGGAAGGCAAAAAAAAGGAAATTTTTTGAGAAAAGAGGCACTAATCTGTAATAACTCACCGTTAGACGCCGTGAAGTCGATGGCGACTGTGAAGTTCAGCTGCGTCCTGTTGCAATTTAAAGCAAGAATTACGACAAACTTTGGGACGATTGAATCAGTTTTGTCCATCACGCAGATGTACCAACGGCAAGCGCCGGAATCCAATCCAATCAGTCCACAGACTGTTTGGCTAAACGGTCCCCTTCGACATCAGAAGGTTTAATCAATGAAAACAAAGAGAACCGGCAATTAAAAGTGAATTAACTGAACAAATGAGGGGGCCCCGAAAAACAATATTTCCCAAGACTTCATCCACTCAGAGCAAATAGAAAATTCACCGCAGTGTTCACCAATGAGCTTTTGGGGAAATCGGTTGAACAACCCTCTCTCTCACACACACTCACACACACTCACACACAGAGGCTAAAAGCAAACTAAACGGTGGCCTCCGACACGCGCGCTAATTGTCATTCCACTCACCCCCCTCGGATGAAATCCACAAAGGTGTACTCCGAATCCACTTTGAAGGACAGCAGAGTTACCTGGCAGACCCAAACCGGCCCGGTCAGAGAAGGAGAGGTGGGGAAAAAAATAACAAACAGGCATCGTTTTGGTTCAGAAAATGTGAGAGGCCATTTTTAACACAACACAAAAGCACAAAGCAGAAGAAGACGCAGCTCACTCACAGTCCCAGAATTGATGTATTTCTTCTTTTTGCCTTTCTTCTTGGGATTTAAAACCTAAAGAAGAAGAAAGGGCTAAATTAGCCATTGATAGGGATCCACATACTATGATGTGATGCTCAATAATGATAGTGAATAATTCATCAGATCCCTAAGATAATAAGAACAGGCCCTGAACTGAAACTGATACTAGCTTTCCACGGCAGATCGTTCATCCCTTCGCTTTAACATTTCTCTATTGTCAGCCTTGACATTAACGTGTTTGCTTGGAGCCGAGCAGCCCTCCGTTGAGCAGAACTTAATGACCTGCAGCTTTTAATGGAGCTCGCAGTTCAAGAGTTTAATATCCAGCGATTTCGCCCGTAGATTTCAGATGAGAAGCTCGTCTCTCCAAAACAAATAATTTCCTTTCTATTTCCTTCGCTTCTGTCATATCCTAATTTACCGCTGAAGCTCCATATTACAGAGTCCTGATCCAAAGAAATCTTTGATTTTCTAGTGATAATGTGCCGATGCTTTGAGGTTATTATTATTTCTGTAGCATTATTATAACCAGAGCCCTATATTACAGCTCTTATGCGGTAAAATGAGTCAGAAATAGAATAAAAGTCACCATAGAAAACATAAAACGCATGAATTGTGGATATCTGTGGGTTTGTATGTAGGAGGTTTTTAGACCTTTAGACCAGAACATCTGCCCTTTGGTGAGTCTCACTTCCTGTCCTCAGTCACCATTTGTTTGCTGTTCATTTTATGTCTCATAACACTCGCTGGAGTTTACCTGCTTTAAAAACTTTCTAAAAAGTTTTAAAAAGTTTCTACTTTTTCTTAATAAATAGAATTTTCTCTCCTTGCACTGAACGTGCCCTCCCCCGTTTTTTGCCTCGGACCCCTCAGCTAGTCTGAGATAACATCTTTCACGAGCCTCTGCACAACTTTCAAACTAACATTGTTGGATAGGTGGTTTCACACATTTTCTGTTTTTCTTCTTTTGAATTTCAGCACGTCTCAAATCCTGTGGACTGCCTAAGTCTGTGTTTAACTCCACATGAGCTTAGTTTCTCTGTAAAGTACCCTGAGATAACTTTATTAAACAAACTTTGTTTGCAAAAACTACAAATGGAAAAGAATAGAATAACATTCAAAAGCATGAAAAATGGAAAACAAAGGTGCTCCTCTCTTCTTTTACTGGAGACATCCCTCTTATTTGCAGAGTCTCAATAAGTGATAATGGTAAGTAATGGGTAAAAGCACAATGAATGCCAGATTGAGGGTAAACCAGGATGCCTTTTTGTTTGTAGAATAGGTTAATTATTCTTTTAATCAAAATGGGAAACTGAGAAAAAGGCAACTGAGTTCTTTGTTTCAAATATTAAAATGAAATCAAATATAGTTCTCAAAACCGATACTTCTGCCCATATTAGAAAAATACTAGAAAAATATGGAAAATTCTGAAAACTTGACTGGTCATATAAAATTCGGCGTAGACCTTCCTTAAACTTTATTGATCTGTCTCCTCAAAGGTGACTACTGATGTGCATGAATAGGAATGAAAAAATCTATTTAAAAAATACAGGCTGTATTCTTTCCAGTCTTCCCAGAAAAAAAAAGCTTTGGAGCATTTTTAGAGTATCAGCTTCAACAAAGCACACAGATGTTTTTTTTTTTAGCTTAAACGCAGCAGAATGAATCAGCTCAGCAGTTCTGGCCACATGTCTGCTAAGCTCAACTGTAAATATCAAACACTTTGCATTCACAGCAGATGGACAACAAAATGGGGTCTTTCAGAAAAAAGGGAAGGGGTCCATCCTCCTCTAAAAAAAAAAAAAGAGGAACCCGAACACGGTGGCTTCTGTGGAGTTGTGGAGCTATTACCATGAGAATGAAGCCACGGAGCATGAAAACCGAACAATGCTGAACCGTCTTTTGTGTGATTTTAATTGGAAGTGAGTTTTGGAAAAGCGTTGTGTTTATTTTCGCCGTTACGGGTGAGAATTAGGTCCGTTAAATGTTTCATCTTTTTCCCCCTCAGAGCAGATGTTGGTTTGTTTTTTTAATCAGTTGTTGCATCGAGATGGTGAGGGCCTCCGATGCCTTCGGTTTAGAGCGTGCGGCAGATAAAACCTGAGTCCGGATCCCAAAGGCTGGCGCACCTCGTAGACGTTGAACTGGTTCTGTCCTCGAGACAGCTCCCTGTAGCTGGTGGTGAACTCTCCGATGAAGTCGTGTCTAAATAAAGCACACCCACACAGGCAGAGAAGAGGCATGATCTCAGAGAAATTGACTTTGTCTCGGTCGCCATCAACCCCCCGGCGTGTGCACGGCTCTCTTTCAGTTTGCTTTAGTGGGTCTCGGGCAAAAAAAAAAAGTTTTTCCCCCCCAACAGAATGCACGGGCGGCATTTAATTTCTCTTTGACATTTTGGGAGGCATGGGCGCGCATCATAAGCCTGTGACACGCCGTTATCCGGCGCTCTTTACCTTCCATCTCGATCCCAATCATAGACGTCTACCTTCACAGTCCTGGAAAAAAAGAAAAAAAAAAAGAAAAAAACAGACAGATTTATTTCAGAGTCTGCTCTTATTGCTTCACCTGCTGTCAAAAACTAAAAAGAAAAAAAGAGAGAAAGAACGAAAAAGCCGTCCTGCATCAAAAGAAAAAAAATACCCTTTTCTTTCCATCACCCGGGGAGCAGATAGAACAATTACACATTCCCTGAATAAATAATGTCCCGTGGAAGGGATGATTGTTGGCTCAGCGGGTGCAGGGTTATTATGTGAACAGCATTCAAAGCTGTGAGAATGATCAATTTTCACATGTGGGAGAGGAAAATGAATAAGTGATGTTAAAGTTTGCATGAATTACGGCGAGGGTGATTTGAGTCCCGCGTGAAGAGCCGGAGAAGCTGTACGTTACGGCGTGAAAGAGACACTCAATCTGGCAGGGACCTCCGGGCTATCGAAGGCCATTAGCATAGCTGGCGGGGCAGCTTTTAAGACCACGCTCCACGCTGTAAAAGCTCAGATGTTTCTCTGTTCAATCACACGTCTGCTCCGGCTGTTATTAGCTCAGCCTCCAACGCTGCTGGGAGGAACCCTCAGGTCTTTTTTGTTGTTTTTTTTTGGACCAGGGTTCGGTTTCGTATGCAGAATATCAGCGAAATCGGGAGAATCTCGCTTTTCAATGCTAGTTTTGGTTATTTGAATTCCCAGAAGTAAAACGAGAAGCGGCTTTTAGGGATCTGGTCCATTTCTGGTGGATATTCTGCAGTCATTGTTATTGTTATTTAATTATATTTCTATGCTATCTGTACATTACTGTTGTTTTAAAAATGCAGCTCTTTACAGAACTTTAGTTGCATTTATTATGGAAGAACATCATAAAAACTGGCTTGTGTAGGATGAGCAGGAAGCAAGAAGCAGACGGATTTATTACTGAACAGTGACAAAGTGTGGACTAATCTCAACCAAATAACCAAAAAAAAAAGAGAAAATAAAAAAAATCAAGAGTGACAAAGAAACAAACATGAGCTGGAATGCAAACTGGAAAGTAGGCGTGATATGTGGCGATGTGTTCTGACAGAGAGAGAAAGGCTGTGAATGGACACAAGGTCACTAACTGGAGAAAGCAGAAAGAAAATTCAATCGTTACGATCAAAACAAAGAAAACCACATCAAACATAAAGAACAAAAAGTCATCCACAAACCAGGAAAAGAATGCAGTAAAGACTTATGAGTTGTGTGCATCATTGTTTGAATGGAGATCTACACAAAGAAAAGAAAACATTGGAAGATTTTACAGCGTTTGCAGAGAAAAAAATCCCTCTAGTAAAAAGAAAAAAAGCTGGCTTACTTTAACTATTTTCAAAAGTGTGTCTATGACGCAGAAATATACAACTTACAAGTCAAAGGTCGCACAAACCGAATCCATTATCGACACATTTTAAAGATGCATGACCAAAGCAGAAATGTGATTTAGTCTCAGAGCGAAGCTCTGCACCAACATGTTGCAAAAAACACCCCAAAAAACAAAGTGTAGAATCACATAAAGGGGATAAATCTTCCACTTCTGAAGCCCCGTGGGGATTTCTGCGGTGCCTGCTCGAGAGCGACATGCCCAAATTGAATTGAGTCTTCCTCTGCAATTCCGAACCCAGTGCCGAGCACCTCGGTGTCAAAAACCCAGCCGGCACGTACGAGAACTCATCAGAGGTGTAAGCGCCACCGTCACTGCCACCGAGTCAGAGCTTCTGAGGAGGAAGGCACGATTTCTTGACTTGACTACATTTGTTAATGGTAAATAACCGTTTGTTTTTTTAAATAAGTTGCAATGGACTGCAATCTAACCCCCACGAAAAATATGGCTCAACGTATTGTTAAATTTTCTTTCATTATCCATCATTTGAAATGCGTTTGTAGAAATGTTTCATGGGCTTTTAGCTGAGAGTCTGACTTTTCTGTGGACACCAGATATGTCCACTCGCTAACAAACAGATTTGGACTGTCTCTCAGTTAGAGCTGGCCAGTCTCAGTCCTAACTTTTAACATACATGTATCAACATATTTCGCCGCGACACATCTGAGCAATCTTGTGATTCTGGGTTGATTCATCGGGGGGGGGGGCAGAAGCCCACATCAGCTGACCTTCCTTTCAGCCGCTCTTACCCGCTTTGGCCTTGAAGTGGGCCCCCATCCAATCATTCGTACGTCATGTCGTGTGCATCGAAACTGATTGCGAGGCTTCATTTGTGGTGGTGTGTTTCATTTGGTGATGTGATGTGATGTCTGATCTTTCTACTTTGATCCACTCCGAGTGTTCTTAACCTTGGACAAAAGCCACCAACAAAGGCTGAGCACATCGCCACTCGTCATACATGCATGCATCTTCTGTCTCAAAGGGGGATCAGAGTACAAGGAGGATGGTAATACGTCCAATTCCTCCAATTCCGTGCTGCGAGGACCCGAGTCGATCTCAATAACGCCAGTGCTGGTCCCTGGGACACCACGACCGACTGCTGGCATTATTCTGACCGGCCCCCGGCAACCGGTGATCCGTCCAGGACACCTGTTCCCCTTATAAACATCCCTCTTAACGCGGATCCGTTCAACGTTTCTGACCTGTCGTAGTCGCCGTTGCACAGGGCTCGGACAGGAATGGTGAAAGGCTGCCACACCGGGTTGAGGGTGTTTTTTATCACCTCCGTCTTGTGGCAGATGGTGAACCTGCCCCCCCCAAAACAGGAAAAAGATCAGGTGTGAGGTCTCAAATTTAAATTTAACTACACGGTGCCTGTGAATGAAATCCCTCTGCCCTCCTGGTCTGCTGTAGTTCCGCCAGATGCCACTGGACATCTAGGCGTTAGCTTCTTTCTGAGTTCAACAAGGTCCAGATTACTCTCACTGTGGGTTTTAGACTGCGCAGCACTAATGGGTCTGCTGAGGGTTCGCTGCTTCGGTCAGCCTTGACCTTTTAGAAATGCGGGCACTCCACGGTAGCCTGTGCACCCATTCCCTTCTGCTAAAAAAAGCCCCTTCTACAAATTTACTAATAACAATAAAAGGTGATTTTCAGGTGGATTTTGAATGTAAATATATTTAATTGGTTACTTATTTAGAATCTTAATCTCCTACAAATAAAATAATTTATTCTTAAGTACTGTTCAAGCTTATAATGATTAGCAGTGCAATGCTAAGCTAAGCTAATGCTATTTTTTTCCTTATTACTGGAAGCTATGTCGATGTAGGCTCTAGGTCCCAGTCAGGTTATATATAAACTTTTTTTTTAAATAAGGCAACTGGACGTTTTCAAAATCCAAGAAATTATTTTTGGATCTTCTTTCATCTCTCAGGGAAAAAAGCTTCATATTTAGGAAAGTACATCATCTTATAAGCTAATGGTCGTACTATTAGTCACTCTCACCAGAACATTTTCTATCAGTCTGAAAGAGATCCAAAGTGGGATTTGTTGTGAAAATGAACATGAGGGAAAACTGACTTTCTTCCCAATCAAAAATTTGTCCTGAAGAGAGGGTCCCTCCTCTTTGTAATGTAATGATTTCTACTGGGAAATTTGTTTAAATAAGCTATAATAAAACCTTAGAAATGATCAGAAATACCCGTTTTGAAAAAGCATATAAAAAAATCAAACAATTGTCCACTCACGTTCCATCCTCGTTGCTGCGGTAGAAAACCAGGAAGGGGTCGGACTTCCCGAAAAAGTCTTTCTTATCCAGCTTGTTGGCGCACAGCTGCATGGTGGCGATATCCTGACGGAGGACACACGCACGGTTCAATCCACCGATTATGATGCAATCCCATTTCAAAGTCGGCAACCCTTCCTCCTCAGGAAACTCATTTGTTGGCAACAAAAGCGAACGCTTGGGCAGCGTTTTGGAGCAACAGTTGTGAAACTGCGCCCAAAAGTTAATTGGCGGCCCCGATGATGCAAACGTGGACGGAGATCACGACGCTTCAATAACAGAGTCGTGCTCGGATTACAGCCACTTGTTTTAGAAACATTACACATCTCATTAGCAGGAAAAATACATCTTATAAGGGGGCAATACAGTCAGAGAGGGGATGCCTCATACATATATGTATGAAAGGTTGCAGCAGTTAATGAGGACTTGTGTTTTCCCCCACTTCTGTATGGAGATGTCAGGGACAAGAGCGGCATCTAGGAAGGAGGGAAGGAGGTAAGGATGTATGGATACGACGATGAGTAATGAGTCCTCTTAGTCGGTTCCTCATGAGGGAAGGCATCATGGGAAACCTAAGCTTGCCACTGACAGCATGTGGATGTTGTCAGAAGAAAAACCTCCCAGAGTAGCAACGGTAAACACAAGCAGGGTAAGCCGGTTCACATAATGATCTCTGCAGACACACACACACACACACACACACACACGTACACACACATATGCACACGGTGGAGAATCTTAAGAAAAATAACTACACCTGGGGAAACTGCAAACCGAAAGAGAAAATGACTTTGCAACAGCAAACCGACCTGACAGTTCCACTTAAATACATTTAAAGATGTTCTGAGAGGTCTCGCTAACATAATGAAATAGGAAGGGCCAGGCCAGGAGATCGGCTACGGCCACCAAAACATTCTAGCCATTTCCATCCGAGTGTGTAGGATTTGTTTCTGGAGGCGACTGCAAACCTCTGCGACGCCAGAAAAAGATCAAATAAAATGAATAAATTTGACGCCAGCAGGGTGATAATGTTCCAGCTACATCGGGGTTGTGTATTTGTTTACAGGCATGTGTGTGTGTGTGTGCGTGCGTGTGTGTGTGGGTACTGACCCTGCAGTTGCTGAGCTCCTCTGCAGCCAGGATAATAACACCACACTTCTTCCCAGGAATCCCACTGAGAGCGTGAGGGGAGGAAGAGAGAGATAAAGGGGAAGATTGCAAATGATAATAACAACATGGCAAGCCTCGCGAAAAATAACAAAGCAGATGTCATTCATACGCAGTCACTGCGCCGCTTCCAAAAAAAGAGCCCGAGCAGGGATCTGTGCTCCCCCTCTAATGGGCCATCCACGTCTAAAAATACACAACAAGAGGTGGAAAGGAGCACGTCGAGTGAAGCTGGAATGAATTCAAAGGAGGAATCACAATGTATGAATTCACCATCGGTGGGTGTTGTTGTTTCAGGTTGACGTGACAGAAAAAAGAGATTGTTGATCATTATTGTTTTATGGCTTTAAATAAATAACACGAGTTTCTGTCAGATGAAGCAGGAGAGAAAAGTTTGGAAATTCATCAGAATTTCACCTCCATGGAAAATGATCTCAGACCACCTTTAAATCCCCGGTCATCTCACCAATATCACCACCTAACCCTAACCCTAACCCTAACCCTAACCCTAAAAAATAATTTAACGATAAAGCACAAAAAGCAGTTCATCGTTTAGTTTTTTTTAGATTTCCAGCAGATTAGCATCATCAGACCACTAATGTGGAGTCTTTTTTTGTCTTTTTTTTGGGTGGTCCTGTTCGTGAGACTGATTCCCACACACATACACAGAAAAAAAACACGAGCACGCCCCCTCCTCCCATCTTTTCCACCAAATCTCTGAGGCTGCGGCTGGTGAAGGCCGATGAAAGGATGACTGACAGAAACGTGGAAGATGCTAAAGTGGACGCGTACAGCTGGGACACGGACGGGTGAAGGGAAGGAGCAGATCGGGGCACAAAAGGCCCACGCCTGAGTGCTGCTTCATTGGGATTCTTAAGGGGCTGGAGAGGGACGGATGAGTGGCATCATCCACGAGGACGGAAAAGAAGGTGTGATTATGAAAGATGAGACTTCAAATCTCATCGAGGGGAATCTAAGTCTAATTTTCTCAGTTCGTGGCCTTGAAGGCGACATAAAACAGGCTTTGAACAAGCTGACAGTTCCCTCCCAGCCCTGGTTTATTGGACAGATTGGTTTGTTCCTGACAGTAGACGTGATGCGGTGCTTTCATGTGCAGGCAGAAGGCTCCGACAAACGAGCGCCGAGCAGCCACAACCACAACCGCTGGTTGTGGTTCCAGTCGGCGTGACATCCAGAGAGCCAAGTCAACACGGCGTCGTGTTTTTCTCAGGTTTATGTTCAGAGACAGAAACTGGACGTCAGATTGATGACATCCCCTCCTCAATGCTGCCTCAAAACGATTCAAAAGAATTTCATGTGTGAATTTAGCATGAGGAGCTAACAAGCCTTAACTCTACGTCTTCACTGTAGATACTTCAATGTCTTATTAGACCACCCGTTGAAAAAAAAAAGAGAGAGAAGAGTTTTTTTTTTTAGAATTATGTCAAAAAGCTGTTAAATAACAAACTGGAAAACACGAAAAGGTCCTTTTTCTCTTATAAAAACTCTTAAACTTCATATTTTTGGTCTCGGTAACAGCTTCCATTCTTGATTGTTTTTCTCTCCTTTCTGGCAGTTTCTCTTTTTATTAGGTTTCCAATGGTTCCCACGGACTTGCTTTGGGTGATACATTTCTGCGATCAGTCTTTGAATCTCCTGAAATCCCACGTGCGCTCTGACTTGGCGCCTCCATCGGCTCCAGTCCTCCAGGTGTTTGGGGATGTTTGACGGCTTCTGAGCAGCTCTTCTTCCTTCAGATCTTCAGGTGTGGGCCATCTGCCTCAGTTAACTTTTGTTTCCTGCCTCTTTCCCGGCTCACTGTGGAAAGGCCGAGCACACAGGGAGCACTTTTACGTCTTTATGACCGGCCAGCATCACCGAGCGCTTTAAATCAGTTTTACAGTTTTCGCATTTGCACTGAGCTCACACGAACTGATCACATTAATATACTGTACGTTGCTGGTTGATTCAGTGATGCTTTAATTAGTTTCAAACTTTGGGGAAATCAATCTTTCAAACTTTGTAAGAACTAAAGCTCCCAGCTCTTTAGCCAAATGCCAAACACTCACTGGACTTCAGCCAAAGTCTTCTGGATATCTAAAGTATCCAAAGCGCTTCCTGTAGAATAGTGTTTGGACTCCCTCTGAAGTGTTCGATTTCTCAGTCCTGATGAGTTTTTTTATTTTCCTATTGTGTTTTGTTGTAAGTTTCAAACTCACTGTTATTAAGGAGCTCAAAGTGAGTAAACATCTCCCACATGCAGCCTCCTGGACAGCAGATACATGGCGGGTTGGGGTCCTGATTCATGCTGCTAAGCCTCCTCAGACCAAACAACAGGGCTCAGACTGACCAGGATTGGATTTCTGATCCTGGTAAACAAATTTGAGTCTCAAAGTGGGCTTTCCTTTTGATATCCCATCTGCCTCAAGATTGAAAGCGACATCAGGTCTGGATTTTACAAAGCAGTTTTTCTGAGGTCTCATATGTCCTGTAAAATAATATATAGGAGTGACAAGTCTAAATTTGACTAAGTTTTTTTTTTTTTTTTCATCCAGTCCTCATCTATTGCCGTTTACAAAATGCAGGAACATTTTTCTTTTTGCATATCAAGGAACGGACTGAACGTCTTCTGAATCATGAGTTTATTCTATTTGTGGGACACTTTGGTCTATATTGGACCATCAAAACATAGTGTCTTTTTTAAGGGACCTGGCCTAAATATACCCAAAAGAAGTATCTTTTTTCTCTTGGCATTTTCAAAATCTGTGGAAGCAGCTACAAGTTGGGTCTCAGATGCCCTTTTTCCCTTTAAAATATAGTTTAAAATATGGTTAGAGATGGCTCAGGTGACCTTAAAAGTTCCACAGTTCTGCTGCTCCGGGTCCACACTGAGGCCAACGCTCTCTTCCCTCTGCTCTCTTTTCTCTCTGTGCACAAGTGACATTATTGTTGGCATTAATTAGTGTTTCTTATTCTCCTTCTTGTCCTGGTGACGGTTTCTACCCGTTGAAACGGAGTTTTTCTTTCCACAGTCATCCACTCGTTCAAACTCGGGAAGGGGATTGGCTACGGTCTGCTGGTTCCTTTAGTTAGGAACCTCCGCGATCCTCTGGACTGGCTTTATTCCAACTGAACTAATTTGTATGCATTTGTTATTGTGTTGTATTATTAAATTGCCTAGAAATGTATATCTGTTGTTATTTGGTGCCTCATAAATAAAACTACAGTTATAGTCAAGATCAAGTCTGCTGATGTTACGGGGCCCTCTCAGTGTGTTCGAATCCACAAATCATAACTTTTCAATTCCCTTTTCCTTTGTAGACACACAAGTGCAGACATTTTTCATCAAAGTGAAAATGGTGCTGAGGAGTGATTTCGATATGGAATTTTATTCAGCTCCGTTTGAATAATGGCCTGGTTATAATATGTGAATGAATAAATCCACACCCTCTGCAATATTCATTAAAAGTATTATTTGGCTTTAATGGTCCCTCTCTGTGTTGTTTTATTTCCCTGAAGGGAGTTTTTTTTGTCACATTTTCATCTGCTGAATTGGACCGACACATCATCCAAATTCAACTTCTGGGGGAAAGAAAAGCCGTCCTGAGCCAAATCCAGCAGGCCGTCCACAGACACTGAATATTTCAGCCGTGTCCCAGTTCCCCTCCACCATAAAGCAGAATGCAGAACACCAGGCTAATGACAACTACTCCGACACAGATTTTAAGGGAGAAACGGGTGGCAGATAGACAAAGCTGACGGAAACATGGGAGCAAAACGGAAAAAGAAGTGCCTTTGCGTGTAAAACTGATTCAGAGACGAGTGGAAAATGAGGCGGGGAGTGTGGGAGCCATCCTCTCCTCCTCTCTTAAATCTGTAGCCTCGCATGACGTACTTTTCAATTCGATAGATTCTCTCGCTCTGTCTGCCTCGCAGCTTTAGTAGGCAGCAACAGTGGGGGAATTATTTATGAATTTATCAACACTGTTACCTTCTGCACAGCCGCCAGCTTGCCCACAGGACAGATTCAAGAAGTGTTCAGACTCGGGAGTATCTGTCCGAGCCGGGACTGCAGGATAATAATCGACAACAATAACATAATAATGATGGCACGCAGTTACATGATATGATATCTACATGTAATATACAAAGTGTTCCCAGTTCTCCCACTTCGTTCAGAGAAGAATCGAACGAGGGACTTTTGAAATGAGATGGCAAAAGAGTTATGGTAAAAAACTGTGAAAAAACAAGGTACTTGTACTATCATATCACCCGATTCAAAATGGTGGGAAGCTTCTTGTGGAATATAAATAAAATAAAAAGTGGAACCACCTGATAATCAACTGTCAGGATATTTTATTTACTTTCTGCTCAGGTTATAAATAAGGCCTGTGTTTTTTTGTTTGTTTTGCCAAAAGCAGACGAGTCCATTTCAACCAAAGTAACGAAGCCTCCTGGTAGGTGTGTATCCAAAATACTGCTTAAGAATACGTGTTCAAAAATGATAAAGGCAGAAGAATAGTTGTTTCACATGGGCAGAGTCTCATAATAATCCCTTTCAACCAAGTGTGTAAACATTGATATTTTAGTGGATTATTGACCTTTTTTAATGTCCGAGATTTATTTGTTAGATCATTTCCAGTGTAAAGACCTCCATCCAATGCTAATTTTAATGGAGTGGACAGTGACGGCTTTAAGTTGTGGGACAGAGGCGCTGCCCAGTCCTTTCAAACCCAGCTGGTCAGTCTGGTTCTGCCTAGAGGTTTCTACCAGTTCTGTCTGTCCACAGTCGCCTTGTGCTTTGGATTCTAATTGACTTGAATGGGGTTGTGTTTGTTTGTTTTTTTTGTTTTTGTTTTGCCAAAAGCACCCAAAGTAACAAAGCCTCCTTATGGGTCTGCATCTAAAATACTGCTTAAGAAGATTTGTTTGAAAACGATAAAGTCAGAAGAATAGTTGCTTCACATGGGCGCCGTCTCATGCTAACCCCATTCAACCAACTGTGTAGAAAAGCTCCCCTCCAACTCTTGTCAACAGGGTCCTGGCCTGAAAGTCTCCAGCTGCCTCTGCTGTGGGCACTTGTGCTGTTGCTGTTAGCCACGTTGCTGCTCGCTGAGGAGGGGGGAAGTGGAGATGAACCCGGGTAAGTGGCTGCACCTGCCGGCGCCGCGGCCTCTGGGGCCAACTGTCGAACGGGGGCCGGGCTGATGGCAGAGGGACGCACTCACGACCGGAGAGTGACTGAGCTCTGCATCCCATTAGGGCCGTTTAGCGAAGAGCAGAGTGACACGCCGCTCACAGCTGTCCAAGCCACGCCAATTCTGTCATCTCCCTTTAGCCTCAGGTGCGCCGGAGTGTCTGCGATGGAAGGCCTTCGCCGTTTAAAATCCATCAACGCTGGAAATTCTGCTATTTCCGAACCGTTTTCCATTCCGCCTAAATAAATTACAGGCATCGATTTAGCATCAAGCGAGAACGCTGACATCCCTATTCCGGTTTATTCAAGGGATTCCTTCAGATACAGCACACGTGAAACATGCAGCAGAAGTTGGCCTCGAGAAATCCTGCTCCCAATTCTCATTGGAGGTGATTTGTAGAAGAACGACGGCTGTGAAAACACGAGTGAGAACGCAGCGTATTTCCATCTGAAACAATCTCAGGACTCTGTGTTTCCATGATGTAGTGAAAAAAAATTCAAATCAATAACATAATACACCCAGAAAAAGAGTTTTGAAGGACTGGTATTGGCTAAGATTGTTATTAGCTGTTCTGTAAAAAGGATTATTTAAAAAGTTCAGAGGTTTTGACCAGGAAAACCTTGAGCTTGGCAGGACAGACTGTACCGAAGCATTTTTTCCTGACAAAAACTCATCTGCCGCACACAGATCATCTTAAATGGAAAAGATATCCCCCTGCAGTGGCTCCCTCATCATGGCAACTGGAAATGGTTCCGGCCCCCTGCGGCTCTTCAAAGGATAAAGTGGGAACAAAGATGGATGGAGGTTCAGCTAACATCTGTCCAGGTGTGCGCATGGCAAGATGGCCTGAAAAATAATGACTTTCATTGATTTTATGTGGGATTTCCCATCGGATTACACCCACAGAACTCTAGCGTTTTCCCTCAGTGTTTAACAATTTTGTCTCCATCGTCTGAACTGTGGAAACAGGGACACGGACAAATAAAAAATCCAGAGTCGTCAGATAAACTGGAATCACGGCGGAAGAAATGACAAAACCCAGATGAACCGCAAATGAAAGCATAAAATGACTATTTTTTCTGTGATAGAGATAATTATTTGTGAGTCTGAACAGAGTTGTGGACGTCTTAATGGGCACTTTACGGGCAACAACGTCTGATAATCATAACTTAATGTAGAACAACATTAAAGGACAATTAAAGTTTGATTATCCTGATGAGAAAACAGAAAGCTGATACACTATTTCAGCTACAGCAGGCAAATGTTTTGATTCTTCCCACCGTGAACCCTTTGTTGTTTAAACAAATGGCGCGGCTAACAGATTAGACGGCGCTTTTCTGTCGGTGGCTGGAAAACACTGTCACATTATCTGCCAAGATGCTCACGGGCTGCCAACAGGAAAGCTCAATTCTGCTCGCTCGGAGACATTAACAGACACATCTTGGGTTTACAGGAGAAAGTAGCGACTAATTCTTGCCAGTTGGAAGATCTGCGGCTCTGATTCATCCGGCGGCGAGGGCGAGGCCGGGAAAGCTGGAACCCACCAACACCAACAGGGCCTTTTCCATATTTCCGACTGTGTTTCCGCGGGAACGAAAACACGGGGCCTTTCAGGGCGCTTGTAAATGAGACAGGCGATGGTTTTGCTCCTCTTCCCTCCAGAAGGGGAGCAGGAGTGTTTTGTCCGGGTGCTTGTCACAGCAGGCCAGACCAGATGAGTCCTGAGCCACCACACCAGATGGCAGGTGACAGTAGTAGAGGACGAGGACCACAGGGGACAGACGGGGACACGGTGATGTGTGTGTGTGTGTGTGGGTGTGTGTTACGATACCAAGAGACAGCCCGAGTTATGTGGCTCAGAATGGAATTCACACTATCTCCTGGAATGTGGCAATTAAAAAATGGACATCAATTGACAGAAATTGTGTCTTTGGGCCTAACTGTGATTGATTTACTACTAAATGCTTCATTTGCTAATTGTTTGAAGGACAAGTGAATAAATAAATTAGAAAATTCTTTAGATTAGAAATTACACAAAGGGGAGAGGTTAGAAATCGTAGTAAAATTACACAAAATGGCTTCCAAACATATCAGCTTGCACTCTAGTGGCTTCATGCTAGCATCCTTAGCTGGAACTAAACCTGTGTAAACACTGATATTTTAGTGTATTATTGACCTTTTTATTTCCCAAGATTTATTTGTTAGATCATTTGCAGTGTGAAGGCCTCCATCCAATGCTAATTTTAATGAAGTGGACAGGAGTTGTGGGAGAATTAATGGAACCATACAGGCGTGTGCTCTATTTCCTTATTTCATTCCACAGAGGCGCCCAGTCCTCTCAAACCCAGCTGGTCAGTCTGGTTCTGCCAGAGGTTTCTGCCAGTTTTTTCTGTCCACAGTCGCCTTGTGCCTTGGATTCCAATTGGCTCCAATGGGGCATATTTCTAAGGTGTCTAGGGATGGCATTTGCCGATTTGAAATGGATTTAAAAATTAATAGCAACGATACACCATCATGATACGGAGTGTTTTTTTCTCCTGTAAAATTGTTAAAGTATTCAGAACAAACTGTCTCTGCTTGTAAGAACAGGCGGAGTTCTCTAACATCTCGTGGATGGAACAGCATCCCTGCACGCTGCCTCTGTTTGCTGCCCCTCATGGCGCAGACAACATGTTATTCTGTCTGTCTTCCTTTTTCTTTTTTTTTTGCCGACAGGTTTGGGGCTCTGTATCTGTGCGCTTTGTTA